ATGCTGATGCTGATGCTGCTGCTGCTGATGTTGTTGTTGATGATGATGATGATGATGATAATGATGATGATGGATATTTTGGTTACGATGAGTGAGCTTTAGACCTGCGGACAAAGGTATGGATAAATGGTCCCTAAGAATGTGACTCCTCTGAAGCGATCGGCTCTATCACGTGACTTCCGAAGATATTTCTGCGTTCTCATTTGATTTGTTAGACTATGCAGTAATGTAGAAGAAACTATAATACAATCGTTAGCTTACCCCTTCTGTTCCAGCTCTAATTCTCTCCTTGACGGCTCCATTTTTTCCTGCAGACTGAACATTACAGTTCACGAATTCAACATATATTCTGTCAAATCTATCCTGTTGGCTTGCCGCCTGTTCCATGAAGCCAAATCCGCGCGACGGACTACCCAAAGGGGAAAACGTTGGTTATCCGAGCTGGGGTCCGTTATCAGTGATACATTGTTTGGCCTTGTCGGCACGCCGAATACAAATCACTGTGGTCCAAGTAAGCTTGAACAGAAAATAGATTCCGCAGCAGACACCATTTTGTATCCCTAGTGTTATAGCAAAGTGTCCGCAAGGTGAAATTCTCATCGCCGAAGAAGCAACCAATGGGCTGAGCGAAATCGTTCTATCATGGTGGGACTTGCCTCTCGATAGTATGCCTTCTCCATGTCCAATAAACTCCTCTCATTATTACATGCTCAATTCACCCTTCGTTTAACGGTATCCTGTCGCAGTTCCACAACATAGGGGAGAAGTAGTGGACACATTCGCTCATCAGAAGAGCATTTGCTTGGTAGTGTCGTTTATCTGACATGCTAGGCAAGTGTGTTTCCACTACTCCACAAGCGCACACTGCACGCACCTGAATTTTCACGTTTGAGCAGGTAAACACGTTCAAGCCTGAGTGATGTGAGTCAACCCAGTATCATACGTTATTTCCGTCGGTCGATTGATGTACCTGTCAGGAATTCTCAATCAGGTTGGAGACGCCTGAAACCGGTTAGGCAATTCTCGATTAAATGTGGGTGGTTGCGACATCATTCTGGTTGGAACAGTCGTCCCCTTGTCCTGCAAAGGACGTACCGTTTAGACGAGAGTAATGTGGATGTGAATGGTACTAGTTTGTTTTTTTCCCCGGCACTGAATGAACATTGCCGACAGATTTTTCGGCAGTTTATCTCACCACAACCACTAGTTACTGTTGAAATAGTAGGAGCCAACGTACCGACACCATATTTGATATATCAGTCGCTCTGAGCTGAATCCATTTTAGTTACAGGGTTGAACAGTGCTCATAAAAACGAATAAGATCTGACTTGGTATATAAGTAGACCAAAGGAAGACTGAACTTATTAGCTGAGTGAAACTTCCATCTGGGGAGCTATTCAACACGTGACCAAGTGATGTGGTCTCTGTGATAGAAGGATTAACGGCGTTGTATCCTCTGTAACTGAGAACGAATCGCACTGCTGATCAGCCGCTCACGGCAGAACGGTCAAATTTTCAACTCGTTAGCCGAAAGATTGCATGTTCGAAACTCTCAAACGGAGTTTGATGAAATGCGTACTGCCGACAATTTTGAGTAGGGATGAAACACCTGCACAGTGATTTCGTTGTGTAGCTGTCATACCCCCAGAAGGAAACGCGAGGGCTGGGATACTGTCAGGTTACCCAAGCCTAGAGAGGGGAAGTCGGGAGGCAGAAGTTACGTTCGAACCACGAACCTTTCGGTCAGTAAATTCGCGCCCTAACTACTGACCCATCTCGCCTTCCGACGTAGAATACAAGGGATTCTCATGAAAGCCTTTGCCTTCCGACGGAGAATACAAGGGTTTCTCATGAAAGCCTTTTTCACGCAACTTACGATTAGAATAATGAAGTATCAAAGGCTTCCTAAAGCCTGATAACAACAGATTCTTGTACGTACAACAGGATCATCAAAGTCCCAGTTTGTGGACATTTTGCTGAGTACATATTTCACTCTCCCTCAATCAATGTGGCCAGATTTCACTAATATCACAAAGTAGTCGATGAGCACTCCATATTGGTCAATGCTTGTTCAATGATGTCTTTTTTCCAGACACTGATGAAGACAGAAATAAGCCTTTGGGGCCTGAAAAGCAAACGGACATCTGTTGTCGCTATCACGACAGGTGCTCTTATGTCATTAAATCGGGGGAAACCAAATGGGGAATCACAAACGATATGAAGTCCGCAATGTCCCACTGTTCCTGCGATAAAACGTGAGTACATTTCGTCCGGTAATGTTGCTACCGCACTATTCCTGATAGACTCATGTTTGGTGATACACTCGGGATTAGTCATTGATCACGTGGCAATCGATATGTTCCCCGAACTTGCAAATTCACTTGCAGGCTTTTCGTCTCTACTTGAAGAGACATTGCCAGTGTGCTGTTGAGTGAGAACAAACTCAGTACCTCAGTCGAAGACCTTATGAACTTTCTGAAGGTAACTTATGGATCCGTCAAGAGCACAGTCAAACAGAAATAGCAAACGAACTAGTTAGATGACATGGAACGCAACGCAGAATGGAATGGACCGATTGAAATAAACGGAGAGAACTACCGTAATGGAGCTACGCGGAGAACCAACCAGATGCAAGATAATCAACTCACAACTCAAAACGAAATCCGAAAGGTCCAATCAGATCACGCTGAAGATAATTCAGAAATTACCAATCGCGGTGCGGACATTAGCTGTTCTTTAGAAACTTTATGGACGCAAGTAGAAATGGAGCCACACACTGACGATCTATCCTCGCATGGTGAGGCAACTTTGCAAGCCAGTTTCCAACCACTATGTTTATTGTGTTTTTGTGAGCCTCAATAGCTGGTTCTGACGGCTAAAGATAACTAGTAGATGGTATCATTCATCATCGCGTTACAAATGACATGATATATGCTTTACCTTACACTGTAAGCGACCGTATTACTACTGATCCTCAACCAGCGCACGCCGAAAGCGCCCGAATTATGACGTCTGAATGGGCAAACGTTTTCATGCTTGAGTGATGTGTTTCGTTTGCAACCAGCCACGAGTAAACTGGAAATCACGTGCGCTAGCGAGCGGTACTGAAAGGGCAATGGACTATTACCTGACCAACTTTCAGAAAATCCATCGAAAACATTGTGAAAGCGGACCACAGTTAAGACGATGCAGCACACAAGAGGGGATTTGCGATGCCGGAAGTAAAACCTTGGATAGCATTTATTGGTATATCCAAACTGTCGAGTGTCTCAAGGGGACCAAAACGATCGATATTGGGGCCAGATAAAGTCATGAAGATTCAGTGCTTAAACTGGAGTTCACTTTACTTCTTTAAACATTTATGGCGATAAGACACGCTTTGCGCACCGTCGCATGGGTGATGTACCACAAAGAGTATCTACACTGGACGTTGGGAGAATGTTAACAGGCTAAAAGTGGTACAGTCATTTCCCATGAAAGTATCCACTGTCAGTTGCCGAAGAGAACACATAGAGGAAGGTAGTCTGTAGCTGTGTGCATTCCAACAGTTGATCCCGGATAGAACGGAAATGCAGTCCACGGCCCGGATTACGGACGCACACTCAAATTAGAAAAAAGCACCATGAATCGATTCGGCCTGCGGTTCGAATTCAAAATCGCACGGAAGGTTTGTTCTTGCGAATTCTATGAAGTTTCATTAATTAATCAGTGAATACAAAGTTGACGGGACAGAGGGTTGTTATAGGATGTATCCAATCCGAAAGACACTGCATTTTTAAACAGCCGTATTTACGACTTTCATTAGCTGGATCATTTCGATAGCCACCCAATCGAGTTTCATTCCAACGCGTCCATGTTGGTTACGCAACATTCCTCGTCGATAGACATTAATTACAGTCATCTACTTGGAAATTTGAGCCCTAGAAAAAGTTCTATGAAGCAATCCTTCAAGTTTGTTGAGTGTTCGTTCTCGTGCCGAGTACTAGGTATTCCTGTCTTCTGTCGAAATATAGTATCGATTTTTCGCCAAGAGTAATTATTAGGAGAACCAACAGGAGAACGTAACGGGACTATATAACAGCCAATTGAATAACCGTTTTCGTTCGTTGTTGAGGCAGATTTCATTGGTTGTTCTTCACTCGTCCTTGACAGATGAGTTGTATTCTTAGGATCACTTTTGACCACTTGTAGGCGACAGTGATCAATAGAGCAGCCGATTCGCACGTTTATTGACTTTTCTCGTTTGGTCAAGCGCACCAAGCTGTTAATCGGCTATTCAGACCGGGGTTCGAGGTGCTAAGATTGCATGAAGGAGACCGTCTTCCATAATAGTAATCTTCATTTTAGAGGCGTCAACAGCCCTTTTAATCCTAGTTCTCTACCTCCGGTAGGGATCGCCACATATGGCGGACAGAATCCAAGTGATTTGAAAAAAATGATTGTCTCATTTTTTCCATTAAGATTTCTTGATGTAAGTGAAATCAAGCCACGAAGCACTGTACCGCAGTTTCATCTTTATCAGAAGTCGTCAAGAGGGAGATTTGAACCCACGAGGCAAGTAGTTGAAGACTTGAACTTTCGCCCACGAGCGGCTGTTCAACACGTGATCAGCCCGCACCTTGACACTCAGTCACTCACCACTCAGCCGGCGAATTCAAATCGTATGGTCATGTAGTTGTCTAATAGTTCCATGCAACTGTGAATTCAACACCGCATACAGTACAATTCAAATTTCAAATTCCCGCCTTTCCATTCTATCCAATCTAGCTTCATCAGATGCCTTAAAAAGGTTAACACACCAACCGCGATTGCTGTGGGCACTGGCTATTTTTCCATTTATCAACCTCACTGTTTTGTTTTTGCTAAGGGAAGAACGGATAAAGCGGTAACCCGCCCGAGTTATTCTTTCCTTAATCCCCCGTAAACTGTCAACCCCGTATGGGAAAACTATTCACAATAAAGCAGTCCGATTTACACGATCGTCTGTTTTTGAATTTTAACATGAATGCGAGTGATACATGTATAATGATAAACTGGATAGCATTGTGGGAAAAAAGAAGGAAACTGGCCATTCGAAGGCGTGCGACAAATAGTTTCAGTCAGATGAAACGATTTCCGACGTAGGAGAAAAACAATGTTGAATGCTTTTCAAGGCACGGTAAGCGCTAGCACAGTCAAGACTCACACATCAGGTGGAAAGAGTCCGTCATACTGGGTCTGGGGTGCGATTCAGTGGCAAAGATGTACACCCAAAGCCATATACCAAACATAAAATTATCGTGAGTAGACTGTGACCTCGGGAATCCCCAGTCCAACAACGGTCTTGGCGGATTAAGGAAACGAAAACCCTCGATGTAAAATGAATCAATAAATCAACATCAAAATCGATGACGCATCGGGCTGAGATGATGACGACGGAGCAATCATCCCCACCATACTTCTGCTTATTTTCACTCCATACAATCACTCCGCGCTCAGGGTTGTCCGCGGTTCCCAAACCGGAGTTAGGTCGATCTTGACGAAAGTTGTTGAAGTGGGTGCTCTTAACTCGTCAAGGATGGGCTTTCTCAGGCGACGGAGACATGTACCACCTTTCCCTGTACACCATGAGTAGAATTTTCTGCGCCTACTTCGCTTTGATCTTTTTGGGAAACCATAGACTTACGTTTGCTTACAATGACTATTTGACTCGAACTGTTCCTCCTAGGAGACAGAAAACTCGTGACAATATTTAGGAAACGAATTGGAAGCCCCTTCAATGGTTTTGAGCGGATGACCAATCTGACCTGCTCTCCTAGTCTGGCAATTAACTTGGAAGCATTTTCCCACCACATGAGGAGATTTCATCAGTTCCCAATGGGCTGGGTACTCGCTCCCTACCTGCGTGCGTTTATATAGCATTTAGAGAGCATATGTTATCTCTTAACGTGCTAGGCTAGCTGGAAGATAGATTTACCTTGTTCTCCTTGCAAGCTCTGTTGCATAGTGGATACAGCGCAATGGGCTCGGTACTCGCTCGCTACCTGCGTGCGTTTATGTAGCACTTAGAGAGCATATGTTATCTCTTAAGATGCTAGGCTAGCTGGAAGATAGATTTAACTTGTTCCCCTTGCAAGCTCTGTTGCATAGTGGATACATCATCACCATCATCACCATCATCGTCATCATCATCAACATCACCATCATCATCAACATAATTATTATTATCATCATCATCGACACCACCATCATCAACATCCTCATCACCATTACCATCATCATTATCATCATCATCATCATTATCTTCATCAGCATCATCATCATCATCATCATCATCATCATCATCATCATCATCATCATCATCATCATCATCATCATCATTGACATCAGTTTTCAACGCTGATGCTTCGCTGCCGTTCAACCATGATTTATTTGAAAACTTTCTTGTGAAGTGGACACAGGAGACTTACAGCTACCCTAATACAATCATTTCGAGGTGCCTACACGTGCAGACACTCATTTGGGTAACCTGGATAAAAACTGGCAACAAAATCACCACTGACATCGGTTGGCATCCACATATTTCAGCTCTTCCAACGAGGCGCAGTCAGGATCACGTGGTCCCCATCACCGACAGCACCCAAACGTTTCGTAATCTCTTTCATACTGTGAACTGGTGAGGAAAATTCCGGCCCACTACATACTGCCTAATGTATCTGATACGGGGACCTTTCCTGCAAAAGGTTATTCACATAGTCTTATGGGAATAATACCGCGTGTGTTCAAAGATGGTTAGCCTAATCTCCTATTCACCGCTCTATCGAGCTGACCAGCCTTGGTCTTTTGACAATCATGGCCATAATCCTCAAACAGGAGTCGAAGAGCGTTCATTTTGGTCTAGAATCCTGGAGGTTCACTGATAAGGGCGTCCACACTTATCCGTATATGGTTTATAGTGTCGTAGAAGTCACAGAACCCTGTTTTTCCTGCGCCCCAGTTCAAATACACACACACACACGCTGAACGTAGAATGCGGTATTCCACCTCCAAATTTCCGTCAAGGCTACATAGCTACACACAAACCTGATCTTTCCGTAAACGTCTACTGGGGGGAAACTCCGAGTGATCAATCTAATGCGTAAACTTCCAACTCGGCTTCCAGACCGAATAGAAAGAAAAACGTAAATGGATTATTCTGACGATTCGAGAACGAAGGAACGACCAAGATGTGGGGGGCAGTTGGGGTTCACTGACGATCACCGACTGTGCATTTTGCAGGCGCACATGATCCACACGGTATATGAACTCCGTACATCGCCAGCGCATGGTTTGTCACGTTTGACCTTGAGAGGTGTGAATAGTTGGATGCCTGGATACCTGAAGTGACGATCCAGTGACGACCCTGGTTGTGTCGATTTACCGATCCGCCAATCAGGTGGCGCCATGAACGCCTAGAATCTGTTTGCTAATTCCCCGATTGCTCGTAGGTCTCTGCGAGATACGAAGGACACATGTACAGCATTCGTTTGAAAGGGATAGTCATCCGGCCGAAGGAACAAAATCTGACGCTATTCTTTTAGGGGTCTTGGAAAGTGATGGGCAGCTCCACCACCGTCGTTTCAATAGAACCCTTCTCCAGTTTCAGGGCAGTTTAATTGCCTGTTTACCGAAAAGACAATGAATGTGACGTGAATATGACAGTGGATGTGACGTTTATCTGAAAGCTTTAGGGGACCATTAGCCGCACAATGCTCTTAGCTGTAAGACGTTTACAAGTGGAGTAAAACTTATTGCGCCAAAATGTTGCATTTTGTTGCTCAAACTAAAAACCATCCTATTATACGCCCATATTTTTTCAGCTCACCAAATTTCATTGTCCACTGAAGCTATCATACATCTGGCGGAAAAGTTTGGTGAAATAATTTCCCAGCATTGCTGTGACCCCGGGATGCCCAAAATGAGGCTCAAAAGTTTGGACTGGTATTCTAAAGTCAATTTCCCAGTTACTTTAGTCATTCAGGGACACGTCACAGCTTTCTAAAATTCAATTCCATTGTGCGAATACTGTGCGCCAAACTTTGGTGCGATTTGTTCGTCAGATGACTTCCTGGGTTACAATTCTGAGGACGCTAGTTGGCGAACGTTGTCTGCCTCATTCAGCATTGATAAGCCGTGTATATTTCATCTAATCAACAGAGATTACATCATAATTTGAAAACAGGTTTCCCACAGGAAAAAAAGACACTCGGAATCTGGGGTTTCCCAGCCAAGATTTGCGTCGGCCCTAGGGTGGTTTTGGGTTCCATAAAAGTACACAAACTCACAACACAAGACCCCTTAGGGGTATAACAAGAGGCCTATAATCTTTAAACTGGTCAGAATTTAGTAGAACATGAGCTCGCAGTGCATCACGAAACGAGTAACGTTAAGAATCGACAAGATTCTAGTACTCGGAAACTGTTATAGGTGAAAAACTTACTGGTTCCGCTATGTGGATGAGTGTGCTCTGAGATAAAATATAATACAGAGGTATGTAGATGATAATCCACTAAGATGCTCTGGTTGATGTTCTGATGGGCGTCAAAATGCACGTGGTCTACAAAGCCGACCAGAACGCTTCTTGGTGAGACTTCCGGAACCGCAGCGACAGGCCTTGAAAACATACCAACGACCAACCTGATGAACTGATATTTTCATCGGCGATGGACCACTGTGATCTGTGCAAGAAGGAAGCTGTCAACACGCAGTTATCCCTGTGACACGGCAGATTATGGTACCAAGCAAAGGATCCTGCTCAGTCTAGGTATTTCTACCTTCCGGTTGTTGGACTTCTTGGGGTCAGCCGTTCTTCAGTTCAGTCACCTCTGTTCGTACAGCACGGGCAACGCAGGTGGAAAGTGAAACCGGAATAGCCGGCTAGATGCTCCAATCTTGCTTAAGCACTGAGTACTACTCAGTAATTAGCCTGGAAGTAGACTAATCTCTCAAAACGAGTGTAACTACATTCTGTGAATTAGCGTAAAACACTCACTTGCAAACGAATTTGGTTTTATGAGACACTCGCCTGGAACCCAGCTGAATTTCTTTTTATAATTCAAATAAAACATAAGGTTGACGGAAACTCGACGATTGTGACTACCAGATCAGCTCTAAGGAGGGCGAAACCGGTGGAAGAATTTTCAGCAACCTTATGAGTAGTGCATTACGAATGTGCATGATTGGCAATATCTCGAATATCGTAGGAACTGAAACATGGGGCGGCCTGGTGCTTAGGGACAATATAAACGAAAAATTCAGCTGAGTTCCAGGTGAGTCTCCCGTCAAAACCAAATTAGTTTTCAAATGAGTGTATTTCGCTAAGTTCGTGCAATTTGGTTTCAAGTAGAACATTAGGTTGACGGAAACTCGGGGACTGCGCCTACCTGATGTGCCCCAAGAAGGACGGAACCGGTCGTGGGTTGTCGAAAAGTTTTCAGCAACCTTATGAGTAGTGTACCAAGTCTATACATTCTGGGAAGTTATCACCGGAGGAGCTAGTCAATACGTGACCTAGTGATGGGATTTCTGCAACTGCGCAACCTGTCAAGTGTTCAACCACCGGTCGGAAGGTCGCATGCTTCGAAATCCCCACTGGAAGTTTGTGAGAATCGCACTGCTGATGCTTCCCAATAAGGATGAAACAGCAATACAATGCCTTCGGCTTTTTAGCGCAGATTTACTTGACCCCGTCAACTTTCCTCCACTCACCAGAAGTCCTCAATCTGTTGGATAACTGTCGCTCAGGGTCCTCGGGAATGCACCAAACAGAAGAAGGCTGATCGGAGAGACCGACTATTTCCCATGGGTGCAAAGATCAACTGGAAAGATCACCAAAATCCTGCTCAATCCGCGATAGTCGTTATTGACCGTGAAGGGAACCTTGTACATGTTTCAAGACGGTCGGGC